CTGCTCAAACAAGACCTTCTAGTTTACTGTTCAGAGCAGCTTATGAGACTTCTCCTAATTTGAGAGCTTATGAGATTTCTCATAATTCCATTCTGGAACAATTGTGGAAGGAAGCCATATCATTTAGATCTGCTCTTGACAAGTCCTGGTTAGCCAGTAACTCATCTGTGAGCATTTTCTAGATGTTTAGAAATGGTATACCTGTTTCAGTGTTCTTTTGAGATTTCTGATCTAGCTAGGATGGAAGGACCCTATTTCTTACAATGCCTGCTTCTTTCTGGGGAGAAAGTATTTCCTTCTTTTTTCAGTCCTCTAAGATCTTTTGTTAGTCAATAACAACCTGCTTTGAGATGCCTCACCAGATCACCTTGTACCCAAGAATGAGTTTACAAGAATCCATCTGCTTTTTTTTTTTTTTTTAAAGTTTAGGCAGAGTTCCCAAATGTTGATGCTAACCCTGTTATCCGCTCAACTGTCATGAAAACATAAGCAAGAGATTAATAATATTGGTAGGCCTCCTACTGAAAAGGACAGGAAGACTATGCAAGCCTTTAACATTTAACAAAGGATCTCTAGAACACTGTCACACCCCCAACACTCCAGGTAGTTGTAGCTCATTTTGCAACTCAGGCTTTTGTTCCTGCATCTCTGTAAAGAAAGTATTGAATAATAGTTGAGCAGGTTCTGGTCCTTATAGTGACAGATTAAGGGAGCAAAACCACTTGGGAGAGGCACACAGCACCTGCGGGCACTGCTGAACACAAGAAATTAGCCTCACAAGCAGGGCCAAAGTAGAATACAAGGCCTACAAAAGGCATGGCACTGGGCAGTAAGTTTGAGAAATCTGTTTCAACACAACAAACAGACATGATTAAATAAAAACAAAGTCACCAACATTGTAAAAGCAAAAAAACTTTGTCACATGTTGTTCATAAGTAATTCTAGAGTAAGACAGTTCAAAGAACACAGATTAAACTATTAATTTACCTAAAAAGTTTTAAAAACTCTATGCTTGCTTTGCTCACCTTGCACAAATTCACATTAAAATACTATTAACAATCCCATTTCTAACTCATTTCAGTTAGTCTACATATTCTAAAGAAATTTTCGTATCACAGTTGTGTGACGTGAGACTTGCATTTCCCAGGACATAATCTAGGTCCTACCATAGCTCCAGAAGCTGAACACAAGCTGAGCAGCTTGTTAGGGGTTTGACCCCTTCCATTTTGCTTTGGATGAGAAATTCAAACATTCAAAGGCAACAGGAAAAGTAGAAAGATTTCTGAAAATACCATCATCCTGGATGACAGTGTAGCCCAGATACAAGGCATATCTGGACTTCTGCCAAACCCATACCACTGTGGATCACAAAGAAGTGAAAGATTAAGCTGTTAGCCTACTGACAGTTTATGAGTGGTACCAAACATACTCAAGTCAGCAGTTTTAATCAAGGAAGAAGACTGTCACTTGTGGTTTCTCTATATTCACTTTGATAACTTCATAAAGTGATTGAGCCTAAGCCAGTTATAAGCCATTAGATCAAACTCCATTCTTCTCTAGAGTTTAATGGAATTTAACAAAGTACTTCAAATGATGCAAAAACATACAAGAAGCACCAATCATCATGGCTTGGCAGTGTTGCTTCTTTGACAATCCTTCCTGCTACTTTGGGCTGGGGAAGTCAATCAATAAGACACTTTGAGCCCAGATATGGATAAAATTAAAAAAAAAAAAAAACAAACCTTTAAGACTGCAATTTCCCATCTTTGCAAGATCCAACTAAGTTGCTTTTGCTTTCCTCAAGGATGTAATTTTGCTCATTATCCAGTAAATTATTACTTTTTCTGAACTACCTCCATGATGACAAAAACCTATCACCTAGACCCAGCAATACCACAAAATCATTTCCCAAATCAGGTCATTTTGAGACATCAGGTCATCCCCTACTTATTTTCCATTTCTTTGATGAAAGCTAAACAAAAGAAATGTCAAACTTCACACCACCATAACTTCCTCAAAACAAGGGGTACATGAACTTGCCCAACAGATGATGTATCGTAACTGCTAACAGCGTATCCTTTATTCAGTCTGCAGTCATTGAGCTACTTTTAAGATCTGTTTTTAATATAACATTTAATCCAAGAACAGCTCTAAATTACTTTGGAACATCAAAGCATGGAGAGTAGATCCTTGCTATGAGAGTTGGGCTGAAGCCTCAGAGCTGTTGCTTAAGTTACCTGCATGTTCATACAAGTTGAAGATGGAAACCATTTTCCAACTTTTCTATTTATAAATGCCACTGCAGATCTTGGCAACCAAGTAGCTATTGGCACCAGTAGACTTCTATACATCTCACACCCATGTTTTTCTCACATTTTCATTTTCTTTCTGAATTAAAAAAAGGACATTGTTTTCACCTGTTAAATGACAGTGGCAACTGTCCAAAAACCAGGATGAAGGAATCTAGATTATAATTCAATAGCACCAAACATAGCAGTTTCTTTTAAATAACAGCTTCCTTTGTACTGCTGAAGATAAAGGTCATGTCTGTAAGCCTTGCTTATTTTTAGTTCAGCATCATTTTTCTACAGAAAGTATTATCCATTTGGGTTAAAAGCAACATTTCTAATGTAGCTTAATAACTATTACAGAATACAAGCTAAAGATATCTGTGTGAACAAGCTCAAGCTACCAAATCACATTTAAAGAGGTAGCTGAGAACCTTCTGCAATACTAGAAACAGAGTGGTCATACATAGAAAAGCTATTGTTTTCCTTCAGCCTGCTGATCACAGATCTATCACTTCAGCAGATGGGTGTTAAGAAACAAGACAAATGGCATACAATCCATCTGAAACACTGAGTCCCTTATTCCTTCTCCCAGTACTTCCTTTCAGATGAGAGAAACCATCCAAGAAAACAGGGAGATTTCTGGTCAGAGTCCTTCGATAGACTCAGTGTTATTTTTGTGAGCTTTATTTAGCTGGGCAGGTTAGGAGGGGGGCACCTAGACTTACAACATTAGATGCTTCTTCACGTCAAGTGACATGCTGTAAGGAAAGGCTTTGCTCATGTGAGACAGACACCTTAAAAAAAAAAGGTACCATAGCCATCCAGCCCCCAATCTTCAAAGGTTTTGTATTCCCTTCTTTAAGCCTTCCTCCTCCTCTCCAACTTCTGTCTTCCCAGATACAGCTGGTATCACAGAGAAACGAAAGCTAAAAAGGAAACTGCACCACTCCTTCTCACCCCCTCCAAAAAAGGGTACTGTTTTACATTTGCTTAAGCCTGCTGCTTTTTCACTTTTATTCAAAGGCTCCTTGCGTTCAAAAAGCAAACATTCACAGGCTCCTAGGACACTCCTTTGATACCCACAGGACTCCAGAAACCCTTACATGAATCAATATTCATTAGAGTAGGTTCTCAAGGGGAAAAATGTGTTCTTGGGAGGCTCAAGGGAAAGAACACTTAGGCAGAAGTGATACTGGCCCAGCTCTCAACCACAACCTCTACTTGTAACCTAAAAAAAAAAAATCACCAACAGCAGTAGGGGCACATAATACTTCAAATCACAAACAAAATATTTAATGATATGAAAAGATCCCAAATAACATTAAATAGAAATATTCTTTCTTACAAAAAGGAAGCCATGGTTTAAACACCTGCCTTGAAAAAAATCTTTTAAGGGAGGTTTTATAACTCTTCAGAAGTGAAACTGCACATGCCCTGAAACCCTGCACTTCATATACTGGAATTAGCAGTTTTCAGTCAGATTTGAGAGCTACAACACACCAAATCTTCTACAAGTCAGCAGCATCTGATGGAAGCCTCAGGGTGGTAAGAACCCACTCTGTGGTGCAATGATTTAGGATTTACTTTGTTATCTGCCACACCCCACTGTCAGAAACTTCAGACTCTCCAGCAGGATGGCACTTGTTTGCACATCAGGTGCCACAGCTCACAAACTGGCACTTCAACCCCAGCTTAGCTCTAAGCCCAGCAAAGCTAAGCAACCTGCATCCTATTTCTGCCACTTCTGTGATGGTTGTAGTAGTTAATAGTAGAAGGATGAAGCAGAAATGCCTTAAACTATCACGGCTTGCCACAAATGGTATTTATCAGCTCTCAGGGGTTCTGGCAGCCAGTTCAGTTTCACATCATTCCAAGCAAGTAGACTCAATGGCTTAAAAAGGAACCACTGTACAAATCCACTCTTACAGTGATGCATACAACTCTGGCCACAAATAAACTCAAGAACTTACACAAGTTCCCAAACTTGCAAGTAGACCTGTCCCATTTCTTCAACAGCCAGTGTAAAAATAACACCATTTCCCCTTCACCTACTGCATTAGATGCCTGAACTTTTACAAGGAAACAATCAAGTCCTCTTGCTACCACAGAAGCTACCCAGGCTTCAGCACAAAGTTAAGGGAACATTTGAGACTCTCTTCTTGTGGATTCAGGGACCAAAACCCATTCACTTGGGGTAGAAAGTTTAGGTTAGGGTTGCTACTCTTATTTCCATTACTACCAAAACCTCCTTTTTTCTTGGAAAAGTGAAGCTTACTGTATTCTGGTGATCAATATACATATATTTGAGTGTTCTAGCATTGCAAGCATTTCCTAGTCCTAACAGTCCAATGAGCAAGTTCCCCTTTTTGTTGAGGGGAACAGATAGTACATTAAGATCAAAGCTCCTGAGTATTTTGAAGAGAAAAAAAAAGAAAAAAGATTATTCTCATTTGATAAAGGCATAGTTTTGGATTACATGAAGCAAGTCTGTTGAGTCCCATACACGCAAAAAAACACAATAGGATTGCAAAACAGTATGAAGTATACACAGTTCTTACACATGTGAAACCTACTTCAGATCTATTTCCATCCGTGTTTTTGATTAGAATTTTTTCCATTTTAAAGAAAACTTTTAAAAAGTAGCAACATACACAGAAAATACTAGGAAGATCAGTAGTCAAAAAAAGATACTCAAGCATGCAGACTTACTTGCATTCCCCAGGTGTACTGCAACCCCCATGGAGCAAATTACATCCTTGTTTACATACAGCTGTAAAAATGAAAAGGTTTAGGCATCAGTCTGGGCAGCTAGGTATCCATTAGTACAGCAGCAATCTGCAACTGTTCAGCTAGGGCTTCTGTCACTTAGCTTATTTGTTGCTTGTACAAAACAGACTGTCTTTTGCCTTGGTCCAATAGTTGTTGCTTCCCGCTAGCTATTTCAGAAAGCACAACCCCATTACAACTGTTTATGAAAAATAACTTCAGGTAACTCCTTGAAAAAGTTGCTACCAAATAGGTTTGCAGCAAGAGTGTCAGCACCAAAACATTTATCAAATACAGTTATTTTTTAAACCTGATATTAGAATGGTATTATGCTGGAAATCCCAAGCTTCAAAAGATGCACATAACCTTGAGTAAGCCCTAAAAATGGTCTTTCCTCTCATTAACAGGCTTTTTACTGAAAAGGAACAGAAAACAAAAACAAGCAGCCCTCAACAGAAAGACAAGTACATCACGTAATTTTAGCACTAATTACTCACTGAAACTGAAGGCAAGAGGCAGAGATTTGATTGAGTGGTATATTAAAAAGGACGACTACACTTTAATTTCTGTTCACATTAAGAGCTATCAAAAAGCTTTCAGCTTTGCATACATTACACTTAAAACTTTTTCATTTGCAAAAATAGTGTTATGAGGGCATTTTACAGGACTAAAGTCTACTGTATTACCGAGATCATCACTGTTCAATAGAATCTTACATTAACAGATGTAATACATCATCTTGCTTTGAAGTAACACCACCATTGAATAAAGTCAATTAGTAAAAAGATGTTTCACTATTTCAAATCCCAAATTTGTTGTGTAGCCCCCACAGCACACACCGCAAGCAGCACTGTATGCTGCCCTGGGTTCCACTCTTCACAGAGAATGTTTTTTCAGATTTGTATTCAAAGGACAAAGTCCGTATATGTTAAAATTACTATGGTACAGCACTGACACTACAGAAATATCTACTGCAGTTTATTATATACACATTAGAGCTAATCTAAAATGAAGCAAACAATACTACCTTGTTTACATTCTTCTCCCATCCAACCTTCCATGCAGGCTTTGTTTCCATTTTGATCACATGTGTAGTGACCAACAAAATCATCTCGAGGGCCACAAAATTTATTGCACAGAGCACTGTAGTAATTTTCATCACACTTCACTCTTATTTGTACTTCAAAATGGGCAACAGGACCATTAAATTGTAGTGTCTTCCATCGATCTTCTGGGTTGATCATGCCAGCATGTGCCACTCGTTCTATTAACAAGTCTTCACCTTTTCAAGAAAAGGTAAATTCAACAGGTGGTAAGTTTGATAGCACACAAGAGCTTATAAATTCAAATCAAAAGTATTTAACTGGTTAAGAGAAGACCTAGTAAAGAAAACGTTAAGATGATAAAGATCTACTGTATAACTGAATTTTCCTTTGCCTTGCAAAGTTCATTACAGGAAGGCCAATTTAAAAAAGTGTCCCAAAGGAAATATTAAAAAACCCTGGAACATAATCCATAGGAAATAGCTTATTTTTCAAGGCAGCCAAACATACCACACCCACATGCTGACAACCAGCAGCTTTATCTTGATATGAGGCTCTTTTTGCCTCCTTTTTGTTCTTATAAAATTGCAAAATCTGCATAACCTAGTAGATGAGATATTAAAGTTCTCTGGTGCAAGTTTAATTTTAAAAATGGAACAAAACACACTTTCAATTTGCTGCAAAATTACTAAGCAATAGTAAATGCTCTGGTAGGCTTGCATTATGTGCATAAAGTAGCTTTTTTCCATTTTATCATTCTCTCTACAGTAAAGGCAAAATATTTTTAACAAGCGTTTCATAGATCACTTTATGCAGCTACTATTCAACATGCAGAAGAAATATACAAGTGAACCCAGGATTGTCAAGGGACCATTCTCAACTCTGTATGCTGCTTATCCTTATCCCCAGTGGAACTACTGATAATCATGATCACTGTTGCAATACACTCTATAAGCACCCTGCTTTGCCCTCACAGACATCAGCAGCACTGCTCCTGCCAGGCTCCATTAACTGAGACCAAATGTGCACAAAGTATTAGCTGTCACATGGGACAAGATGATTCTAGGATAAGATTATGGAACTGCCAACACAAAGTTTCATTTTTGTTAATATCCATTTTGTATGTATTCACTTTATTCTCGGTATAGAAGCTTCAGTACTAGGAGATGAGATGCAGTTATAGTCAGTACAATAAAATTATACAATTGCTTCAGCAAATGTTAAGAATAAGCAAAACATGGTAAGGATAGGCAGTGAGTAACCCCAGTGATAAGAGCTTTCAAATGTTTTCACTATTCAAATCTGGTAACACCCTACTACAAGAGGTTTTATAGGTGACTCTGCAAGCTGCAGCTGGAACCCCAAGCTCTATTTCAGGACAAGAAAAAGGAACAGAAGCTCCACTTGTATATATGAATTTCACACCCATTTATGGAACAGCTGTAATATTGCCAGCTCAGAGCTTTAGCATCTATTTTCTTTAAATAAATATTCCTTAAAATGCACATTAAAAGAAATGAAGAACCAAAAACTTGCACGCAGCAAGAGTCTGTAATGGTAGTGAGATAAAGTCTAAACTTCAGATTAATAATAATAGAAAACACACCAAGCTGGTAGCAAGCAATACTAAACTATCATTGTCAGCAAATGTGTTTCACCTACTTACTTTCTAGAACTCATTAACCTAATTCGTTTAGAAAATAAAACCAAAGGAGTGACTGTTTCTCACCTAGTAAGTTACTGACAGCAGAGAGGTATCCTGTGCATCGGTTACCAAAGCTGCACTTCCCCGTCAGCAGGTAAAAGGACTCAAGTGACAATTTTCAGTCACTCCGACATTAAAGGAAAAGGAAAGCTACAGAAGTACTGGGCTCTGCAATGCATTTTGTTATCTCAACATCTTTTTTTCAAGCTTGCTTCTACCATAAAAATCTTTCCTCTTAAAATTAAGGAATATTGAACTAAAAAAAAAAGCTGTTTTAACTAGGCATTGAAAGGTTCGCCAATTATTAAGAACTCAAAGTATCTCTCTGCTTTAATATTAAAAGTAGTATTGCCATATATAGGCTACAATTCATGCTTGCCTGGACTAGTCTGCAAAAAACATTTTATGGCTAGACAAGACACACTGAAGTCTACCCCTGTTTAACTCTCAAATTCCTATACGTGAACTCCTCTATCATCCAGCAGCATGTAGCCAGTATAAGAGTGGGCAAGAAACCTGCAAGCTAGATAACGCTGCCTACATTTTATTTTTGACTGGACAGGATATCTATCATACCAATCACCATTAAAAGCTTCATGATTAGATTCAACATCCTTTCATGATATTCTTCTTCTCTAATGACTATTGATCTGAAACCCTTGATGAAAAACTATAAAGAAAAAGTGCTGAATCATTGTACAGTCAAGGAATTTGAACAAATAGCAAATAGGCATTATAGAGCTATTTTCCAGCTATAAGCAACACAGGCTCATTAAAACAACCTGCAACAGCCATGGCTATGAAGTGTTTCCTCAAAGTGCATCAGATGGACTGAAGAACAGGTCCTGAGATTAAAGGAGTGGTTTATATAATTAAAATCTTATCCAGCATCTTCAGGCTAATGCAGATTCATCAGACAGTTAAACAACTGGAACAAGCACTACAGCTATTGCAAATATACCTATGCAGAATGGTCCTCTTAATACCTGGGATCAAGAATGGGGGAAATCACCCAGTAGTGACTTTTTTTTTTGAACAAACTTTATCTTCACAAACTCCTCTGAAAAAGAATGTATTCTGAGTCTTAAGAGCTTTTCCTCTAGCTTATATCAGTAAAAGTAGGCCTTAACAGCCTAAATAAGCAAGCCAAATAATTTACCCTGAACCACAAAAGGCATTAGGAAATCAGCTCCAAGTCATTTACTTTCTAATACTAAATTCTTAAGTACCGAAGTACGAGAATTCTGCTTTACTTCAAATTTAAAACTGATCCTGAATAAAAGGTGCATCTTCCGAAGAGATCTGTAATCACAGGGAGGAACGTGTTTGTCAAGGTTCCTCCTTCCTCCTCCACAATGCCAAAGTGTTTCTGAAGATAGTCAGTCTCTCATATTTAAGTGTTTTGATGAGACGAGTTTGCTCCCTGCATCAGGTTTACCATTAAAATTCAAGTTAGGAACTCACACACATTACTTTTAGCCCTCAGTAAAGGCAACGAACTGCGTAACTGAATTTGTCTAGTTATTGGTCAAAAAAGCAGCATACACCCCTCTAACCTCCCCACACACACACCTCAGAAGCAACCAGGCTTCTTGATTATTAAGAAGTTTTCTGCAAGTCCCTCTAGAAAAGCAGATAGCAGCACACATGTTTGCGTAACACGAGATGATGGCTAAAAGGTGGTTCTTTAATTAAGCATCTGATTTTTGGAAGACGAATCCTTGTCTGAAGAGTATTTAACTGTAACTGTGCAATCAGGAGCCATGACTACACTTAAATAAGAACACTGATCATCAACATATTAACTTTTGGCAGAGGTCAAACATTCCCAACAAGCTACTCACAGGGCAATACAAAAGGTAATGCTGATATTGTTTGTCTTTTCTCTGGAGGAGCTGACATATTCCCTTTCCTATTATCTTACATACGATTTTTTACTGATCTGTCCCTGTTCGGCAGTTCAGCGGTCCTTGCAGAAATACAAGGGAAGTGACTTTGCACCTTGACAGATTCACAAGGCAAAACCTACTGGAGGACACCCAGCCAAGACCACTCAAAAAAAAAAAAAAAAAGAAAGAAAAAAAAGAAGAAAAAAAATCTTCAGCATTAAGGACTTCGTCCTAGAAATCTAATATGCAAGGTTAAATTACAGCATGGCAAAGCAACAGGTCTCTATCATGGAATCAGTAAACAGACTACAGAAACATTTAACCAAGACAAGCATTTAGCTAGTTTTCTGCCAAATTATAAGCCAACAAAGCCTTCCTAAATTCACATGACAAGCCTTCTAAGTTTCAAATACAATATAGCTTAACAGAACCTCTCTGGCAGCCTGTATTAAAGGGAAGTTCACTTTCCATTAGCAGTTTCTCATGAGAGCTAAACTGTAATCTGACACTTATATAGACTCCTGTAGTTATGGAAACTGTTAAATTAAGGAGATGGCCCATTGGGCCTCCAAAGCACACTATATATCCTGTTGTCCTGAAGTTCAGGAAAAAAAAAGTGACATCAATTCAAGTAAAAAGATTTGTTAGAGCATGTTAAAAAAACTAAAAGGCATAAGAAAGACTTAACAGAAGCCTAAAGCGATCGTCCCCTTATCAAGAGTATTTAAAAAAATGGATTTTAAAGCTACAGATTTGCAAGAGGATTCTGCAGATTCTAAGACATAAACACAGCAAGTTAGAAGAGCATTAAGTAGCTTATTAAAAAACAAAATTCAGCACTTAAATGCATACAGATCTCTTTTGCAGGATAGGCTCTTCATGTTCACCCCCATCTACACCATCTCATGAGTTGATCTGCCATCTAGAACTAGGGCATGAATATTCCAATATTCACTGTACTAGCTGCCCCTAGCTAAATTATTCCCAAGCTGGAAACTATTTAAAGGAATTAACTTCATATAGTACTTGCTGAACAAAGCATTCAAGAGGACACATACAATCTGTTGCTATGTAGGATATCTAAACTTATTCAAGACTCAGACTTCCTCTGCTCAGTGCACAAGATCTCGTTTTGAATACCACGTGTATGTACTTTGGGAAGTGCCATTCAAGAAGGCTGCGGACCAACTGAAGGGTTGCAGCACCATGAATTACTTAGGTTGGAAAAGACCTTTCAGATCATCAAGTCCAACCATTAACCTGTCACTGCCAGGTCCACCACCAAACCATGCCCCTAAGCACCACATCTACCCGTCTTTTAAATACCTCCAGGGATGGAGACTCAACCACTTCCCTGGGCAGCCTGTTCCAGTGCTTGATTACCCTTTCAGTGAAGGAATTTTTCCTAATATCCAACCTAAACCTCCCCTGGCACAGCTTGAGGCCATGTCCTCTCGTCCTATCACTTGTTACTAGGGAGAAGAGACCAACCGGTTGAAGGAGCTGTTAAACAACAGGACAAAAGAAGCTTAATTCTAACCAAGGGAGGACTCAGGAACAAACTACAAAGTCATCATTACTTTGTCTATCATTGGAGACAGAGTACATTAGGAAAACCTCTAAGTTAGGAAAGTCTGTCAGGAAAATGCAAGTGGGACTGATCCCAGTCTTCAAGGAAAAGGACCTTGAAACTCTAACATAGCCTTAATATCAATTGAGTTTTGCCAATTTTTTTATGCTTGATGCATCTTGATAAGGATGGCCAGTGAAGCAGCAGAGAATGGAACCTGTAATTAGAAACTGATGATGATTTGTGACATAAACCTTTGCTGTCTTCATGTCCAAACACTTATCTTCCTCTATATTAATCCCAGACAAGACTAAATAGTCCACCATTAACCACAATGAAAGCCTGAAGTTCACCTAACCCTTGTAGCCAAAAGCATTGATTATTTTAAGACAGGTTTGTAAACCATTACCAAAGAGTAGGTTCAAGCTGGAGTCCTACTTCAGCAGCAATATGGCAACCAGCACCTTCATATGATTTCGAAGTATTTATACAATAATCTTGCTTTTCATTCAGATCAATAGTCCTGCTCTGATACTAAGCATTAGCATTTACAGACCAGAAATGAAAGGTAACTTTCAGTACTTCAGGAGAAACAGATGGAGAAGGAATCATACCATGATTTAGAACACTTGCATCAAAAACATCAAGCATGGTTCCTTTATGGGGAACAAGAATGCTTATTTGTTTACCTGATCATGCGAAGTATTGCACACTGTGGTTATGGGTAAACTGAGGAGAATTTAAAGTGCAACTCTATAGCACAGACAGTTTTCTTTTTTTAAAAAAAAAAAAAAAAAAAAGAGCTTGCCATGATTTTAAACATTTTTTAAAGCTAATTATTGAGTCACGTATTACAATCTTCACTTACTACTGTCCATCCTTTTTCCTACCAGTAATAATTTTTCACAGTTCCTAACCCAGTATTCACTGCTTGTATTTGTACATGCCCTTTACTTAGACAGCAGGCTTGCATTCAGACTGATTTGGAGGGATGGCCAATCGCAGCAGCGTACCATTTCCCCCCTCCCCAATCTGTGGAAATACAGCACAGAGTAAGTGAAAACTGCAAGTTTTACACAAATACTCACCCGCTTTTGTATCATTATCCCAATCCCATGCTTCTATTATTAATGTGAACGATCTCTGAAAAGAAACAAGACACCAGTTAGATAGCAATAAATAACTACTGTTGCACACCAGACACACAGTGATTTGGAATAAGCAGATATTGCTGCTACAAGAAAGCCAGCTGAAAGCAGTTAGAAATTTCACTTCTCTGCTGTCATGTGAAAGCCCTTGAAGGCATCTTCTCAAAAGCATGAAATGTCACAGCATTAAAAACTGGGGCAAAGCATGCTAACAGCAAAACAAAAACATTCCCCCACACACACCAAGGACTGAATTATTATTATTATTCTCCTCCCACTGCATCCAATTCTCAGCTTTACTTAGCCACAGAAATCCATTTTAGAAGTAGCCGTAAGAGGTCTGAATGAAGTGAAGGGTTCTGAACACTGGGAAACAGCTAGGATATTTAAGACTTAAGCAACTGAAGACCAAAAAAAAAAAAAAGGAATAAAATCAGAGCCATCCTTTAGGAAGCACACAAAAGATCAGTCTATGTAACAGATCTGTTTGCTGTTTTCTAGAAAAACGTATCTAAAGAAGAACATACAAAAATCCACCCTGCATCTATCAAGAATTTAGACTTCTTTCTCATGAAAGGGGTAGTATGAAAAAATGGACTTGCAAAAGATACAGCAGAAACAGAAACTGTTAAAGGAAGCACACTTGTAGTATACTTCCCCTGAGGAAAGAGGAAAAGCATGATTTCAGACAGTTTTAAAATGATTTGGAAAAAACATGGCAGCTTTACTTCACTAAAGCAAGGCTTCAGGCATTTTTCTTGGTTTTATGACCAAATATGTAGGACAGATATTGATATTCAAATACTAAACTTATTTAGGAAAAAGTTACCTTATGCATACATGTAGGGTTTACCTGTTTTGAGTTTAACAAGAGTAGCTGTCAAACCCTTCAGCTTTGATAGTTTCCAACTTGTCCAAGCTAACATTGAGATTCTCACATACATTTAAAACCAAGGAAAAAACCTCCAAGTACAGAAAGAGTTATTGCACCACTATGCTAAAACCCTCATATATACATCTTTGTGCTTAGAGGCAAGCCACACCAAAAACTGAAGCTCGTTAAATACAGCAGAGCCAAGCCTTAACGTGCACACGATTCACAGGCTTATAATATATGAATTCATATGGACCTGGGGACACTCAGCCAAGAAATTAAGAGCACCGTTTCAGGAAGAGAATTATGTAAAAATTCAGCTATCTTTCATAGGGTGCTTAGGACTATGTTACTGTTACATCAAGAGATGTACATTTTGACTTTGAGATAGCTCATAAGTGCTTTGTACGCCCCTGACCTCCTCACCAAGAAGGGTTGACCATAACACTGAAATCTCCCTGTATTAGAACAGCAGCAGCAGCAACAAGAAGAAAGATCAGTGCAGCACCCTAAGCAGAAGGGCTCTGCCTGAGATCCTTCATGACTACAGCAAGGGATGAGTCTATTCAGAAATGCACTTAACTGAGCATGTATTTTTCTATTGCTTAGTTACATTAACATATACACCACGAGCTATGCCTTTGAAAACTGTTTCTTCTGTACTTTCTGCCTTCAGACATATACTAGGGAAGATCTTCCATTATTGAAACAGATAAAGGTTTAGTGATAAATAGTTAGATTGGACTCAAGGGAGAAGGGAAAAAGGAAGCTCAGCGGTGACTACAATGGACAGAGGCATACTTGGGCTTGAACTGTCTTTGGAAAGGAACAACTGATGGAGATCAGCTGAGAAATTAGAGGCCTCTACTTCTGAGGTACGACAATATAGCACAGACGAACTCCACAATTTTTTTTGAAAGCAAATGTTAGCGAAGCATTTCAGTAGCTTCACCCTCCAACTCCCTGCTCTCCCCTGCCCCCCCAGTCTCAGCATTTAGGGAAGCAGGATAGGATCCTCCTGTATTCTGAAAACACTACTTGCCACCCCTCTCCTGAACTGCTACCTGAAAAATAAATGTAAAGTGAATAGTATCAGAAAATAAGTACTATATGGTATGGCCCTAACATTATGTTCTGGCAACTGCAAGTCTCCTTATTTTGAGTCAAAATTAAAAGTGTTAACCTAGACACAATTCTGCAAGTCAGTGCATGATCCAAAGCTCTGTTACCCACCTCGCCTGCTTTTAACAACTGATCTTCTAACATATCCCTCAGTTTTCCTGTGTTCCACTGATTTGTATTAGAAGTACAAAATAGTGCTCAAGTACTTCCAGATGTCCACTTACTCATCTTATGTAAGTGCTGGTCTTTCGTACTGCAAGTTGGCTGCTGCATCTGACTGCCCACACAGGTTAAGGCAGAAAAAAATTTAAGCTGGACTTGCTGTCTTAGGAAACAGATCAACTATGCCTTCCCATCATTCCACTTGAAAGCAGATTTGTATCTTTGCCTAGGATGCTAGGGAATTTTTGCAGGTAAAGAGAGCTCCATGCAATGCACTGTTCCAGCATGCACATGCTGGAAGGTATGAATGGGCATAAAGAGGCATTCTACCCATTTTAAGATGCTTAAAATAAGGAGTCCCATAGCTCTGGTGGCAAATCTGACCACCTAAGCTGGCATAGATTCTGGAGTTGAAAATATTCCTCTACTACCTTATAGAAATTTAATAGTACATTACAAGCAGCTATGACTGGTGCACTGCTCTTCTTCCAAGATGTGGAATAACTGAATTTCTGGCCAAATAACTGACCTCTGCAGCCCGCACAGCTCGTGCTGCCTCCTGGTGGCAGGCAGGGCAAGGACATGGCTCTGCAAGCCCCAGGGTGCACAGGCCTGGTTTCAAGCATTTGCTTTTACCCTCCTCTCGCTGGTGGCCATCAAGAACTATGAGCCCATCTATAAAAAGCTGAGAGAACATACACAACAAAGATAAGACCCATACCATTAAATCCTTTCACTTACTGGCATCCCATAGCCTCAGTTTCCCCATGTCTACTTCAGAGCTTAAAAGGCAAGCACTTGGCCATTTACACGTGAGCAAGCACACGGAGCGTAACATTTCAGGAAGGCTAGTAGTCACACTTGTAGGAGATTACAGATGTTATTCAAATGGCAGTAAACAGTATTGACAGACAAATATACATTTACTGGAAAATCAGTTTCAGCTAGGACAGTTCTCAGTTGCGCAACTTTCTGCTTTCTACTGACGGTTACACGGTCACACTTCAAAACCCCCTGACAGACATAGCGAGAATGTAATCAGAGAAACTGATGTTTGTGGCTATTCTACATCTAGAGAAGACAGCCAAGGTTACCAATCCAACTTGTCATCTCTTCCTCACCTACAGCTAGTCAATAACTTTAAAGAGTAATTCCTCTCCGTGGTAGTGAGATGGATCATCACGTTAAAATTACTACACCTCAAAACAGGAAACAGATCCTTCATCAACTGGTTCAAAACACCCCTCTCCCCCACCACCATGAGCATCAAGTCTTGACTAGATCTGCTTAAATTCTTTTTGAATTTTGCACTTCACTTTAAAACAACAGCTGAAAACTTACAAAGAAGCATCCGTGTTACCAAATATGTTCATGGTATGCTGCACTGAGAGTTTTCCAGTTATTGCTCAACTATCAGAAACATTTGACTCTCACAAACATTTATTAGTGGAAATTTTAATATCCATACGCTCATCCATACTGTAACCCTGCCCAATAATCAGAGCAAGAGCTATGGGCTGAATAACACTAATGGATATGAATTTTGAAGAACACTTTTAGCTTACATAATGGACATAATCACTTTATAAAAGCTCTACCATTGGTTTGCATTAGTCCCATCTGTGCTCTTCGACAGAAAGCCTAACATAGACTACCCAGCACATCTTCCGCTATCACCAGCTGCATGTACCTCTTCTGTAGCACAGATACTTACACCAGACAACATCTTTCTTAAATTGTGCTTCCAGAAAATAATTACAGAACTTACATTAATTTAGCTCTTGTCCAGAATCTAAGGTCTACCCATACTGCAAATCTTTAAACCCCTCACATCATCCAGCAGTATACTGGCTCTTTGATACATCTTTAATAAGAACAGGCTAGCTTAAAAGCTATTTAAGGTAAGAAGTCCTCCACAGAAGCTACCGATACAGGTATAAGCGTGTTCAAGTTCCCACATAAATCTAACAGAAAACTCTAGTTTTCTAACAAGTATCTAAGAATGCCCCAAATTCATGAGTCTTTTATGCATAACACACAAACACCACCACACCCGCTTCTTTTCTAACTTGCACAAGAACTCTTGTTGTAGGCTGATATGACCAGCACCTCACAACAGCAGGACATGCACATTCCAGTCTGTTCTTACACATCAGAAGAAAAGCTTTGTAAAGTAGTATCTGTTGTTCATGTCAACTAGTCCTAGCAAAATATGTAGAAAATATTTTAAAAGTGACCATGGCACAGATTGGAGGGGGAAGGGATCGGGGTGAACATACAGCACTGAAAATATACTTGTTTCTACTGACTTTGGTGTCTAGATTTATCTTCCAGAAAGAATTAAATATAAGACCGCATTTGTGCTCATCAAATCAAAAAAACAGAAGATGTTAAATGCTACGAGTCAGAAGAAGAGCATCAGCACACTTCTGCAGAAGAGCACAGCTTTATGAAAGACCCATTTCGGAGGAGTTAACTGAATAGATATGCCAAGCAGTTTGGAAAGATACAAATTAAGCCTGTTTATCCTGGTGATGCTGCTTCAGTTGTGTTTTTCTCAGGATTGGTGTTGACAAAAGCAACTTCAAAGCATTATTCCACTGTTTACACTAAACAAAACACTCCCAATACTATCCCAGCGACCTCCTTGCTGGGGAGGGGGGGAAACAAGACCTGTAATATTAGTTTGGCATTATCTTTTCATGACCTATTATATTACCTTGATATTTGCAAATCAACATTCAAAAGGTTGGGGGTTTTTTTGTTTTTGTTTGTTTTTTTTTTTTGCAAACCAGACACATCAAACTTTTCATCCCAAGAAAGATGATCAATCTGCT